TTACATATCCTATATTGGATGTAAAAAAAAAACAATCGAAAACTTTCAACCAACATTCGAAAAGTTTACAACCTTAATGTAAACTTATTATAACTTATAAGAAAAGTTTTTAAAAAATAATCAAATTTACAATCTAAATTCAAAATATATTTACTACCTACAGTCGCAAAAGTTTACAACCTATATGATGTAATTGAAACATACATATAACCTACTACGTTGAAAATGTTTACATCTATTAAAGTATTTGTATAACCTTCAATTGAAATATTTACAACCTACATTCAAAAAGTTTACAAACAATTAAAAATTTACAATATAAATTCAAAATATTTATTATAGTTACAAATTGTAGGAATATTTATATATAACCTAAAAAATGGTAGGTAAGCAAATATTTAGACCTACAAATAGAAGGTAGTAAATATTTAGGCCTACAAATTGTTTAGATATAAATATTTAGGCCTACATTAAGTTATAGGTATATAGTAAATATTTTGAATTTAGAATGTAAATTTTTAATTGTTTGTAAACTTTTAGAATATAGGTTGTAAATATTTAAATTTAAGGTTACAAATTACACATTTGAGAATTTTACAATAACATAATAGGCCCGAGTAGAAATTTGTAATGGCGTTAGGATGGAAGCGCTAGATGCGCTACACTGTAAAAAATTTTTTGGTTAAAATTCCCCAAAAGTCTAGTGACGCAAATTTGCAGTGCATTTTGTGGAAAATTCCCTAAAATTTTCTGGGGAAACTTTTCCCTAAAATTTTAGGGAATATTCCACAAATATTAGTGAATTTTCCCAAAAATTAATATCAATAGTTTAAAAAATTGAAATAAAAATTTAAAAATTTGATTCATGTAGCATTTATATCTTAATTACATTATTTATTGGTACCTATTGTTGAAAATTTGTTTTCTTGAAAATTATCAAATATTATCATGAGGTCTCGAACGTAAGCGTCATTAGGAGAGATTTAGAAGTCTAACGCTTTACTAACTACGCCACGGAGGCTCATGAAAATAAAATTATAATTTCAATATATAAGATAAAACTATGTAAACATGCTTTGTAACTTTAAAAAAAGGAAACAAACGTTGAAAATAGTTGTGACTTATGTTATATAATAAATAAAATAAGATCTGTTAAACAAATATTGATTAAATTTTAATTTAATTCTTTAGAAATATAAATTTTTGTCTACTTAAAAATACTTATTTAGTTAAGTTATAATTAACTTATCTATGAAATGAATAAATTATATTACAATTTACAAATAACTTTTTGTAACTTAAGTAAGTTTAAAGTTTAACTTTTTTGAAGAAGGATTTCAAAAAAATTGAGGAATTTTCACCACTTGTTTTTGGGGAAAAATATATTCATTGGAATTTTGAGAAATTTTCACCAACTTTTTTTAGGGAAAATATATACATTAGAATTTTAGGGAATTTTCACAAAAATTTAGGGAAAAAATAACTAATTTTTTTGGGGAAAACATTTTCCCCAAAAATATGAAATATTCACCAAAAAAAGTTGGTGATAATTCCCAAAATTATTTGTAATATATTACAAATTTCTACTCGGGGGAATATATATATATATATATATATATATATATATTCTATAAGTGACTACAACCTAAAATTGAAATATTTACAACCTATACGCAAATAAAAACTTACAATCTACATTTAAAATGTTTACGTCGAAAATTTACAATCCATATATTTTCGAAATATATTCATAGCCTAATAAACTTACAAATTACATTCTTATAGTATACAACTTTCAATTGAAAACTTACAATCTACATTCGAATGTTTACAACATACACTAAAAAGTTAACTAAAAAATTTTTATTTGATAACCTTTTATTATATAACACACAAACTATACAATCTGCAATGAAAAAAATTTATATCCTACATTTTTGGAATATTTACAACATAACCTTAAAAAATTTTCAATAAACAGTCAAAATAAGTGTGTAGTAATGTGTCCTATACAATATATATATAGTTTATCTGCTTGTGCAACGTTTATATAAACGTTGTATATAGAAGCAGATAAACAGAATAATATCCGGTTATAAAAAAAAATTATTAAGCATATATTCCGTTTATCGTAATCAAAAGGGAAGGAAGGAATATATATGGAAGGAAGATTAAAAAGTAGGGATATGTGTATGTGAGTGTGTGTATGGTGTTGAAGGTCAAGTCTCCTATCAAAGAAGGATCATTGACCACCAGACATCCTATATATTTATACAGCTCCAAGAGAATGATGCTTGCCTGTTCTGAAAACCAACCAAATTTAGACCCTATATGAAAAGAAAGGGCTCTCATTAGTTTGATATCAATAGAAGAGAGAACGAAGATATACATATATTCTATATCATAAATAATTAAACTGAAGAAATAAAGAATAAAAATTTAATCTTCTATAGCAATCACAAAAAATAGGATCAACTTGAACTATATATATATATACTCAGAAAATTAAACTTAAAATTAAATTAATTGTTATACATACTCAAAATTAAACATATTCTTCTATTTCAAAAAATATAGTGTAATATCAAGAAATGTTTATAAAAATTAATTTTTTATAAGTATTTTGTAATTTTTTCAACATGGGGAAAAAAAGTATAGTCAATAATAATTTTTGAAAAAAAGTTTCATGCTACGATTCTTTGTGAGCTTTATGCTTATTAAAAGAGAGATATACATATAATTACAAATCTCTTTGGTTGGGTGGTTCTTGCATTTCTCTCTTATGCAAAAGGGAAGGGATAAACTGGCCAACGGTCAGCCAACTGAGCCACATAGTAATGTAAAGCCCAAGAAAACCGGTGGTGGCGATACACACACATACAAACACTCGCTATCTCTTATTCTTGCTCGATCATGTTCCCCTGATTTTTGGTCAAACGAAAACATCCGTCAAACAAAGAATTGACAACAGAATTACGACACAACAATATTGGAATGTGGAACTAAGAGTATAAGAAGAGAAGAGGAGATGAAAATTCCATTGCCTCCATTCCCTTTTCAGGGCCCTTCTTAAGCTTACAAACACTCGCATTTTTACATATATATACTCGCATATAAAAACGTATATATATATATATATATATATATATCTAATTATTTTAATGATAAATCAACAAATATAAATTTTACACTAAAAAAAGTAAATAAATAAAATGCATATTTCGATTATTATTAAATCTAAATTCACAATGTAAAATCAAAAATTTACAAATCAAAAACTTACAACCTACATTCGAAAAGTTTACAACCCCTAATTAAAAAAATTACAACTTTGAAATTTTTAACAAACTATAATAGAAAATTTACTACTATTTCGAAATTTTTACTATACCTACAATCGAAAACTTACAACCTATTTCTTTGGTATTGTTTATATCCTATATATATATATATATATATATTCAAAAAGTAAATTAATCAAAAACTTATAACATTTAAAATGTTTGTAAACTTTATAGTCTAAATATTTACAACCTTCAGTCAAAGTGTTTACAACCTCTAAATTCGAAAAAGTTTATAACATACTTTCAAAAATTTAACAAACAATAATTGAAATTTTTACAATCTAATTTTGAAATATTTACTATCTACAATCGAAAAATTACAATCTATAATTAAAACTTACAACCTACTTTGGTATTGTCTATAGACAATCAAAATGTAAATTAATCGAAAAATTATATATAACATTTTAAAATTTTTGTGAACTTTAGTCTGAATGTTTACAACCATCAGTCAATGTATTAACAACCTAAATTCAAAAAAGTTTACAACCTATAATAGAAAAATTGTAACCTACTTTCAAAAACTTAACAAACAATAATTGAAATTTTTACAATCTAATTTTGAAATATTTACTATCTACAATCGAAAAATTACAATCTATAATTAAAACTTACAACCTACTTTGGTATTGTCTATAGACAATCAAAATGTAAATTAATCGAAAAATTATATATAACATTTTAAAATTTTTGTAAACTTCAGTCTGAATGTTTACAACCTTCAGTCAATGTGTTTACAACCTAAATTCAAAAAAGTTTACAACCTATAATCGAAAAATTGTAACCTACTTTCAAAAACTTAACAAAAAAATAATTGAAATTTTTACAATCTAATTTTGAAATATTTACTATCTACAATAGAAAAATTACAATCTATAATTAAAACTTACAACCTACTTTGGTATTGTCTACAATTAAGAAGTAAATTAATCGAAAACTTATATATAACATTTAAAATGTTTGTAAACTTCAGTCTAAATGTTTACAACCTTCAGTCAACGTGTTTACAACGTAAATTCAAAAAAGTTTACAACCTATAATAGAAAAATAGTAACCTACTTTCAAAAACTTAACAAAAAAATAACTGAAATTTTTACAGTCTAATTTTGAAATATTTACTATACCTACAATCGAAAACTCACAACCTACATCCGAAAAGTTTATAACCTATACCTATAATTAAAACTTACAACCTACGTGTTAATGTTTACCTTCAATTAAAATATTTACAACCTACATTCAAAAAATTTACAATCTAAATTCAAAATATTTACTATCTACTATTTTACTATTACTTACTATTACTTATTTACTATATAGTAAATATTTCGTATATTTAGAATGTAAATTTTTAATTATTTGTAAACTTACAACCGCTTACAACCTACATTGGAATTGTTTACTTAAAAAATCAAACTACAATCGTAAACTTATAATCGAAAAAAAATTATAAAAAATAATTTATATACTTATAATAATATAAAAATCATAACTTTCAATCGAAATAAGTATATAAATAAAATTTTTAGTCTTTTAAATATCCAAATTTCTCTTTTGTTTTGTTAATAAATGTTTTCCCCATATATTATAAAAATTAATATATATATATAATGTATAAAAAATAATATAAATGAAATTTTTTTAAAAATATTTCAGGTCATCAAATGGCTGTTTTCAATAGTCAATCGACCATTCAAGTAGGAGGACGTTGGAATCGCAGTAAAGGAAGAGTTGATAGACCATTTTTAGGTGTTGTTTCGGGATTAGTGGTGAATGGAGTGAGAATATTGGAATTAGCAGCCGCCAAGGATGGCAAAGTCACATCGAGAGGTGATGTTCAATTATTGCCAATTGGCAGTCTTGTGGATAAAGCCGCGCCTTTACAAAGGATGCAACAAGTAAGAATTTTTTCTCCCCCCCAATCAAAAAAAAAAATAATAATAATAATAATAAAGAATCTATTATTAATTTTTCAAAATTATTTAAAAAATTTTTTTTAACTTATTGGACCAGAAAATTAAAAAATAACTAAAAATTTGTATTTTATCTAAATTTAAGAAATAAAATAAAACAATAAGCAAAAATTAAATAAATAATTAAATTCAATTAAATTATAATTTAATAATTTAATTAAAAAAAAAAAAATTTTAATTTCCAATTTTTGAATCCTATATTCTTTTCTTTCGACACGATAATATTTCTTACGAAATTCGATAATTAAATGAAAAATAGTTAATTAAAAGAAAAAATAATTTTCCAGACACCCGCTTCTGGATCCCCAGGTGTTATGGACGATCTAATTTTCTCCGGTGCCGGAAGTGGCTGTTCCGGAGATGACGAGGACGAGGAATGTACACCTATTGTCGACAATGGCGCTGGTATGTTAAAAAAAAAAAAAAAAAAGAAATTCTCTCGACGCACATTATCGACAAAAATCAATTTAAAATAATTCACTATTTCCCAGATAAATACAAAATATATATATATATATAATTATACAACCATAAATTTGCAGCATGCAAAATTATTAAAATATATAATATTTTTGACTTACATTTTGAAGAAAAACATCAGAGCATATCATGGCATATACAATCTGAAACAAAAAAAAAATAAAATTTTTATAAATAAATTTTTTTCAATATAAAATTAATTATAAAACATAATTAAAAAATAAAACGAATAAAAATAAATTCGCGGGTTAATGAATATTTTGGAATAAAAAACGTTACAGATTTAATTTTAAAATTTAATTTAAAAAAAATAATAATATTGCTATAATATTATAAATTTTATAAATTATAACAAATTAAAAAAATATTTTTTTTATAATAATAATAATAATAATAATAATAATAATAAATATAATAATATATAATAAAAGTAATAAAAGTAAAAAAATAACATTTACTTCGAGGGGCGCTCATAAAAGTTCGTACGGCCCTGTTTCAATATATATATATATATATATATATATAAAAATTGAAAAATTATCCCGTTGATATTTTTCAATAAAATTCATTTTACAATGGACCTATGAAAAAATAAAAGATTTTCCACTTTTTTTCATTTAATTTAATTAATTTGCTTTTGAATTATTAGATGAAATGTCATTTCTCACAAGTTGTGAATAGTGCCCCTCGATTCATATATAAGGACACGGAGCGTACAATGCATTTGTGTAGTATGAAAGGAGAGACGTTTAGCACTCCCCTAGACAAGGATGGAACACAAATAATGGAAAGGGCACAAACTTTCCAACATTTTTTTTTTTTTTATATATAATATAAAAAATAAAAATTACTACTTTTGAATGAATAAAAAAAACGATATTTTAATATTACAATTAAATTATAAAATAGCATATTAGGGTTATAAAAAATTTTTAATTCAATTTCTTAAAATTAGTTTCAAATTTAAAACCTTTATTCAGTGTAATTATTAATATAAAAAGCGATTATAACGCGCACACTAAAAAAAAAAAATTTAATTCAAATAATATCGATTATTACTTGACTGTTATCAAATAAATATATTTATTTGTATCAAATAATTATTTTTTAAGATATGGTATATGTTTCAAATACAGAAATTATTGGTTCAAATACATTTTATTTATATATAGTTCAAATAAAATATAATTATTTCAAATAAATATTTATTTGATAATAGTAAGTAACCGATTATTTGAATTAAATAAATTTTTTTCAGTGCAAAAAGCAAATAACTGAAACTTTAGTTAAAATGAAAAGTATATATATACTGATTGAATTAGTAAAATTTCAACTGATTCAGATTTAGAGAGTATATAATTTACAAATTTCATTATAAATACTTAAAACTTTAAGATAATTTTATGTATTAAAATGTTGTAGTTTTATAATACTTTCTAATATTTGTATATATGACATATTAGATACAAATTGTTTGAAATTTTCAAACACATTTGCATGACAATGTATTAAAGAATTACAAAACTTTCAAACAACTGTATTTGAAATTATTTTATAAACAAATTTTTGAATTTTTCAAACATTTTCTGTATTAAAGTGTTGTAAATTTGCAAAAATTTCAAACATATAAATATTAAAAAATATTTCATATATACAAATTTTTGAAATTTTCAATCACTTTCTGTATATGAAAGTGTTGTAAAAATTTACAAATATACATTCAAACATTTGTGTTTGAAAATTATTTCATAAAAAAAATTGTCAATTATTCAAACATTTTTGTATTAAAATATTGTAGATTTACAACACTATTTCAAACATTTGTGTTTGAAATTATTTCATATAAAAATTTTTGAAATTTTCAATCATTTTCTGGTATGAAAGTGTTGTAAATTTACAATTTTTTCTAACAGTGCGTATATACACTATACACATATAATTAAAATATTTTTACAAAATTAATATATCTTGTTATTTTTTTTTTAAGAAATATCAAACAAAATAACAAAATCCCTATATATATACCAGTAAAAAAAATGAATAAATAAAAATAATTGAAAAATATCAGTGAAGTGAACAAAAAAACTGCAATTTTTGCAAATAATCGTCTCAAATGGATATGTGTATACATAAAAAGACAATGAAACAATGATTGAACGATGTATATATATATATATATACGTAATTCCTATATATAAAATCGAAGTTTATATATTGTTGTTGAGCGAGGAGGGTTTTTGATTATAAAAAGAACAATATTGAAAATACTTGACCCAATTGAAAATATAAAAAATAACAACGCGATTTGTATCAATTTTTATATACTCTTTAAATCTGTATTATAAAAATTTTAACTAATTTGAATTAGTGACTCACTTTTTGCTTTTGAATTAGTAAAATTTAACTAATTAATAGTAAAAACAAATTAATACTATACTAATTAGTAAAAAAAAACCCCAATTAGTAAAATTTAACTAATTCAAAAACAAAAAGTGAGTCACTAATTTAAATTATTAAAAATTTTGAATTCAAATTTAGAGAGTAAATATATATATATATATATGAGACCCTAACTGAAAATACACCTGAGGATTCGTTTGAAGGTCGTATAGTCGCAAGTATCGTCGCACGCATGCCACCTTTTCATCTTCATGCTTGCCCGGTTGTATCTTCAATTCATTTGCATATTTAGAATCTCCCCTACTGCCCGTGATAAACTTCCCGAGACATATACATATATATACATATACACATTATATACATAAACGGCTCTCTCGTCCTTTCTCTTCACGTTCATCGACCTCCTTTAACTTGATACTCGCTCAATGTAAAATCTTCTCCAACTGACTAAAAACTCAATTTTAATATCGACATCAAAAGAAGAAATCTCAAAAAATGAGCACAAATTTTCATCCCTTTCATATACTATTATATTAATATTAAAATTATTACAAAATGATAGTAATATATATAAATATAAAAAAAAAATAATAAAATTTATCTAATATATATATATATGTATATACTCCGAAAAAAAATTATTTAAAATAATTAAATTTTTATATCAAAAACCTAAAAGAACAAAAAAAAGATTTCTTCTTTATCAGTTTAACTAGTTGCTAATAGATGTCACTTTGCCGGTAACGTCAATTACTACTATTTTCTAAATAAAATTGATTTAAAAAAAAATTTTAATGTATATTCTTTATTAATAAATTATTATTTAATAAAACAGAAATTAAAAACAATTTTGTTTATAAAAAATAAATAATAATAAGAATAAAAAGAGTAATAATAAAAATACTAATAAGAATAATTATTATTATTTAAATTTTAATTCACAAATTAAAAATTTAATTATGTAATCAATAATAATTATTTCAAAACCGAATGAGAGAAGAGTTAGTATACGATAAATAAAGTAAATATTTATAAATTAATTAAAATTCTCGCGCAGTTGTTTTAAAATAAATTTTGTACTTTTTCTTTAAATATAATATAAAGTCAATATATTTACAAATTGATTTTCTCAGAGATGCACTGATTTTATAATAATTGTATTGATTCTTTTTTTTTTTTAATTTTAATTTAAATTTTAATTTAATAATAAAAGAAATTATATTATAAATTATTATTATAGATGATCTGATAACGCCAGTTTATGTTGCGCCAACGAGGTCACCAACAGTATTTAAACCAAAGTACGTCAATAAGGATAATATACAAATTCGACCTTCATGCGACGATGAGGAGGATTGCGAAGAGGGATCAGGAGATCCTGGTACCACGCAAGAAGTTTTCGTCACATCTGCTACTGGTGGGTTGAAAAACAATTTTAAAAAAAAAAACCAACAGAAATTATAAAAAAACCCCTAAAATTTAAAAAATCTAAACTTAAACTCTTTATAGGAGAAAAAAATTATTTATTTTAAATAATCGGTTACTTGACTATTATTAAATAAATATTTACTTGAACCAAATAATTTTTGAGTCAATTAAATGCTACTTGTTTTAAATACAGAAATTATTGGTCCAATTAGTTTATTTAATAAATAAAAATTATTTGGTTCAAGTAAATATATATATTTATTTGATAATAGTCAAGTAACCGATTATATTCAAATAAATTTTCTTTTCACAATATAGAGTTTTAAGCGAATCTAACGAATTTTAAAAAAGAAGACATTTTTTAAATCTACTATCCCCTTTAATTAGTATACAAAATAATAATCGTATAATAGACCCTGAAAACCCCATAACATATATAATAGCTACGCGCAAACTCATCTCTATCGACTTGTTTATATATATCTTTAACAGCTGTTTTCTCGAAAAATTGTTTTTAAACGTTTGTCATTATTTGTACATTAAGGCGCACCCACATGTGGCATTCTTTATATTAAATTATCACCCTCCAATTTGTCCTCCATTTGTGATTTAATCGAAAAAATTTTTTATATAGAAAAAAAATAATTTTTCTTTTTTCTAACATATATATAAGTTAATTTTAAATGGTTCAACTTGTTTTTTTTTTACATTTAACTCGAGATAATTATATATGTAGAAAATAAAAAGAATTAAAAGTAGACTATTGTATAGTCGTCGGTGTGAATATTTGAAACCACGTGTATAGTAATCAATATCCCAAGAAAGGTATACTAGTGTATATGGATATCGACCAGGAACGTTTTCTGAGAGGTCACGAGGTTTTCTAATTTAGCCTATACCTATAGTTCCTTCATTTTACATGCGAAAAAAAATCGCGATAACAAAATGTTTTTTTTTTTTTTTATTATATATCGGTATATTTTACTATTCTATTTTACTATATATATATATACGAAAAAGGAGAGAAAGAGAGAGAAGGTTTTACGACTTCTTTTGGTCCTATTCAACCGCGTTCGCTGACAGTTTTGTCGATATTCAAACCTGTTATCAAATCTCTCACGGAGTCCAAACCCGAGGGTTAATGGCCTCTTCCAATCAGCGCCCAAGTTTCATTATACGAATTCATTCCTTCCATTATTTTCCCTCTTTTCAAAGAATAATTGTATTTCTTGATTTACTCCCACAGGATTGTATTTTTTATTTTTGAAACGAATGCAAAAAAATATCAATAGGAAAATCGATATACAATTTTTTTTAAAACCCCCCATTTAAATCCTAAATTTAAAAATTAAATTTTTCTCATATTTTAATATAGTTTTAATAGAAAATTTTGAGTAATTAGTTGCGAAGAAAGGTATCTTAAATCAAAAAATTATAGGTTATGTTTTGAAATTTTTAAATAAAAATACATACAAATAGAATCGAACTAATGACGTTTAAGTATTCATTAAATTTAAAATAATCAATAAAAACTGATTTTCGCAGAAAAAAATGAGACTTTTAATCAAAGTAAATCTATCGTAAATATAACCTATAATCCGTTTGCTTCTATAAGGTCCCTTTATATAAATTTTTTCCCCATATATTTTTGTAAATGAATTTGTCTTTTCTAGTTTTCCAAAAACCATTTTTTTTTTATATTATTTTATATTTTTGTGAATGAATTATTTGTCTTTTACAGTTTTCCAAAAACCCTTTTTTTCATATTATTTTAAATTCAAATTTGTATTCTGTTATGTTTTTTTAATTCAAGTTCAAGGGAAGAGAGACTATATTGAAAAAAAAAATTCTATCTCTCTCAAAGAAAAATAAATAAAAAAAAAATGAGGGGTTGAATCAAAAAAGAGGAATATTGTGATGATACGGTCCTGGTTACGCACGCGTATTTTACCAGCCGGGTCACCCTCCTTTTAACAATTTACTGAGTAATTCAACACGCGCACTGATCTCTTGTCACAGATTCGAGCTCGGTGACGTTTACAACACAAAGAGAAGTTGCAACGAGCCACATAAGCACCCTGACAACATCGACAGGTTCAACATCGCCACGAGGAATTGTGACAGTTGTTTCGGCCCAGTACAATGTCTCAACTACCGGTACAGAGACAACTCAAACCAGGTGAGAGAAAATAAGAAACAATTAAAGTCACATTGTCATCTACACAAACATTATATATATAATATAAAACTGTGCGTTCTCAATATGCGCAAAAGTATATGGAACAAATTTATTTCCATTGAATTGATTTTTCAATTTTACTATTTTTCTCCATATGTTATATATTATGAACAAACAAAAAAAATACATTCACCACTTCACCTTTAGTGAGAAAATCGCCTCTTCCTTATCGATGAAAATTGAAAGAGTGAATTAAATTTTCTAATTATAATATTTGTAAGTAAAATTGTGTTTTCTTTGAAAAAAAAATAAAATTTGTTTTAGAATCTAATTTTCGAATATTGTGAATATGTTTCGAGATATATTTCATTTTGTTTTATAATGCAATTTTGCGGAATTATTGGAAATTCATTATATAGTTATTTTAAGAGGAATTGTGCGAGGTATACTAAAAGACACTAAGAAAGTATGTCCTATAAAGAAATTTCTTAGCCTTATTATATAAAATTACAAAAAAATAATAAAAATTTCATATATTTTTGAACATTTTAATTTATAGAAAATGCAAAACCGAGTTTTATTAGTAACTAAAACATTTTTTAAATATATTTTAAAATATTGTTGAAACATATTTATTATTCATCTTAAATAAATTTTTTGCAAAACGTTATTATTTTCCAATTTTTTTTTCCTGTAAAATAATTTTGAAAATGAATATAAAAATAGATTAAAATATAAAATTTTTAGTGATCTTAAAGGAATTTTTATTTTTAAAAAATCGAACCGAAAATTTAATTACCACTTTTTTTTTTGAATAAAAAATAATCCAATTTTTATCTAGAAGAGACAAATTTAATTATTCAAAACATAAAATATTTATAATCGTTTTTTGTATTATCTTTCCAAAAAGAAATTTCAATTAGATATTAAAAAAATATTATCAGTAGAAAATTTAAAACACTCTTATAATGATGAAAGAAACGAAAATTTTTGTCTTTTTTGAATTGCAATAAAAAACTTGCATTGTATTCTCATTTACCTCTTAGTGAAAGTAGAGGTAAAAATATATAATTTTTGTCTTTTCTGAACTGCAAAAACAGTTGCATTTATTGCGATAAATTCTTATCTCTCCCTTGTTATTGTTCAATACATGAATATAAGAAGAGAGGTAAAAATATAATTTTTGTCTTTTCTGAACTGCAAAAACAGTTGCATTTATTGCGATAAATTCTCATCTCTCCATATTGTTTTTCAATAAATGAATAAGAGAGATAAAATTTTTAATTCTTGTCTTTTGTGAACTGCAATGAAAACCTTATATGCACTTTTTTTGTACTAATTTTTTTCTCCTCATTTTTCAGTACTGTGACAACGCAACGTCAACGAACGTCACCAGTGACGAGTACTGTAACAACGTCAACGACCACCGAGATGACGGAACGTCACACGCCAATTCCCCCAGGTGTCGGCGACACAGAATTTAAACCCTTCACATTACGTCCCAAGGTGACCAACAACAATAACAAGAGGATAACATCTGAAACGGCAGAAAATGCGGCATTAATTATTGGCATTATTGCCGGTGCACTGATAGCAATTGTTCTAATAATATTGATAATTCTCAAATTTAAAAGTCGACCCGAAGCAAATTATAAAGTCGACGAGAACAAAACATTCTGTCAGGATCCAAATGCCGCTCTACTTGGCGCTGCCGGTACAAATCAACCGTACAATGGTGCCTTGAAAAATGGTGCCAATGTCAATAGAAATGGCAAAAAACGTGAAGTTAAAGACATTAAAGAGTGGTATGTGTAAAATGTAAATTGTGAGTGTTGAAAAAGAAATTTTTCTCTCAACTATAAAAAAGAAGATCAAGAAACGAGAGAAAGCAAACCAAGACTGACTGTTCAACAAAACAAAAAAAAAACTGATAGAGAAGAAATGACAAAATAGGAATAAAAAAAAAAACACAAAAATATTCTGAAAAACAGCGTATGAGGATATAAAAATAAAAAACGTTTGCTCCTAGAGAAAATAAAGTAGGACCTTTCGTTTTTCTAGAACTAAATCCAAAAGAAAGTTACCGGACACACTCGAATTTTATTGAAAAAAAGAGAATTTTATTTTCGTCTTTAATCGAACAAATTAATTGTCTAAAAATAAAAAATTGTCATATCCACTTTTTTTATGCGGGTCAATTTCCAGTATTTCATATATATCTCAAAATAAATACCACAAATTTATATATATATATATATATATATATATATATAAAATTCATCGAAAGAAAATATAATTTATAAAAAATTTATCTTAAAATTGAATTCGAAAAAAGATTTAATAAATAATTTTTATTCCTTTTTCTGCTTTTAAATATTTCAAATGTAAAATATGAATTTAGAACCAAAAGAAATTGATTGAATTATTACGAATTAGATATTTTAATAATGTCCAAAAAAACGGGGAATTTTTTTTTGAAAGCGATTCTTGATTCTTCACTAAAACTTTTTGATAAAGAGGACAAAATTTTTTAAAGATAAAAAATAGTACAAAATTTAAAACATATATATATTTTTTAAATTTTTCATTTAATATACAAAAAGTTTATTTAATTAAAAGAATAAAACTTGTTCGATATATTAATGAAAAGAAAATTCTGAAAAAAAAGAATCCTTTAAATTGAAAGAAAATTATTTTGCACATAGAAAATTGCTATAGTTTCTAGAATTTTTGAAAAAAAATGTCTTGTTTTTCTTTTAAAAAACAATTGTTTTAATTTTGAAAAATTTGTATCAATTACAAAATTCTTTTAAATCAATTTAAAGGAACAATTTTTTGTTTTAATTTCTTTTGCATTTTTCAAAAAGAAAAAATATAAGAGAAAAAAATATATAATAAACAAAAAGATTCCTAAAAACAAGTTCCCATATAAAAAAATTAAAAATATATATATATATATATATATATATATATACAAATATAAATAAGGAATAAAAACGAGTGTGTCGGTCAATTAACTGTAGATTATTCAATTATTGTTGTATAAAAAAAAAATATAAAACTATTTATAAATTGTGTTATACATGTAAATTGTTTATGAAGTTAAAAAAAAAAATTTTATTAAAATTCCACGTACGCAGTGTGTGAAGCAAACAAAAAAAAAAAAAGAAATGAAAAAAAACTAACAAAAACGGTTCGACAGTTGAGAATAAAAATTATTCTCTGTATAAATATCTCTTATAAATATCCAAGTTTACTTTTAAAAGTTGATTATAAGTATATATATAAGTTATGAAAAAAAAATGGCACCCGACAAAATAACTAAATATGTAAAACGTAGCATGCAAAATATGCTTACATATAAATATATATATATATACACACAGGGTGCGAATGCAGTATTGCCAATACGAATTAAGAACTGTTAATAAAAACAAAAAACAACAAAAAAAAAAAAAAGTATGTATAGAGTGTTTATGTACAACGCGAGACACACTTCAGCGCACGAATGCCGATGCACGCGTTTCATACAAAGCCGTAGATTATGAAAAAAAGGGTAAAAAAAACTAAAGATACAATTATATTTATCAAAAAAAAAAAAAAATAATAATTTTTTTTTTTAATAAAAAAAAATTCATCATATCTATTCACGACTGATAAAAAAAAGACATAATTGTCTCTAAAGAAGTAAGAAAAAAAAAAAAAAAAAAAAAAACTTTGAAAATATCAGGAAAACCGTAACGATTTCCCAATTTTTTGAACCAATCTGACAAAAAATGAACATATCTTTTACTCTAAGTCGTATTTTTGATGACTCAAAAACTTTTCTAACATTATCAACAAGCATCAAAAATTTATCCAATTTTTTTTGAAGTTTCTTTTTTTAATTTTACAAAAAAAAATTCAATTTTCTAAAATATTTTTTCATTTTCTGTATTTTACAAAAAAAAAAATTCAATTTTCTAAAATATTTTTTTCTAAAAAAAAATGCATTTTTACATTTTGTCTCTCTTTTTTTTAATTTCGTTTTTGCAATTTCATTTTCATTCACAATTTCGATATTTTTGTAAAAAATTTTCTATTTTTGTCTTTTCTGAACTGCAAAAACCGTTGCATTTATTGCGATAAATTCTTATCTCTCCCTTGTTGTTCAATACATGAATATAAGAAGAGAGGTAAAAATATAATTTTTGTCTTTTCTGAACTGCAAAAACAGTTGCATTTATTGCGATAAATTTTCTCATCTCTCCATTGTTTTTCAAATACATGAATAAGAGAGATAAAATTTTAATTTCGAATTTAATTTAATTTCGATTTTTATTTATATTAAAAAGAAATTGCAATTTTTATTTCTATATTTAACGAATAAAAAATTGAATCAATTTGTAAATTTAAAAAGAAAAACATTTTTTAAGTTCATATTTTTCTCGGCTTTGGAATATATAAAAAAAAAAAAAAAAAATCTCACCTTCATCGAATGAAAGTCTACGAAAAAATGAAGGGGAAAAAAATGCCCTATATTGTACAGTGAATGGTTAATAATCGAAAATTTCGTGTGTGAATGTAATTTCATAATTTAAGTATGACGAAAAAAAAAAAAAAGTTCGCTTTTTGGAACACGCTTTCTTCCAGGGAGACTCGACACTCGCTATATATTATATATAAATATATTCTCAAATTTTTTAAATAATTAAAAAAAAAATGATAAAAATATTAAAATAAGCACGGGAAAAAAAATAACGATATTGCGTTTTCATATCCAGACTTTTTTGTAAACACGTCCTTATATATCTATATATATAGTAATATACATATATATATATATATATATAAATATAATATTAATTACGCTTCATTTTCGAAAGTGATTTTTTCCCGTGCTGCTTGTTTCTTCCTGGATCGGATTATTATTATTATTATTGTTATTATTATTCTATTTAAAAATACAAGCTGGATTACGCATTTGAAAGTTTTTTACTAGAGTTCTAAATTATCATCTGGAATTATAATAATAATATTATAACAATAAAATAATATTAAATTAGTGGAAATTAAAAAACAAATATTGTTATAATTTATTATTATTATATATTTATTTATAATAATAAATATTATCTATTGTAGATATTTATTTAAATTATATTAATATGAAATTGAATTTCAAAAAACATTTTTGCTTTCATTTAAATGAAATATTTAAAAATAATAAATGGAACAGTGAATGCTCAAAATTTGAAAATTTTTTTTTTATGTAGATTTTCTTCCCACTATTTAAGGAATTAAAACGAAAATTTAAATTTTTGTTCTTTTAAAATAATTATTATTACAAAAAAATTAATAATTTTTTTTTAAATAATTATTTTAAATATTATTATTATTATAAATAATAGTTAATTAATTATTATAAATAATAGTTAATTAATTATTAATAAAATTAATAATATTATTTTTTAGAATAAATAATTATTTAAAATAATTACTTTTAATTAAAAAGTCATTTTTTTAAAACAATTAATAATTTTTTTCTAATAATTAAATAATTAATTCTATTAAAATGAAAATTTAAGTTTTAGTTCCAAAATAATTATTATTTTAAAAAATTAATAATTTTTTTAAAAATAATTATTTTAAATATTATTATTAATTAATAATAATTAATTAATTATTAATAAAAATTAATAATAATATTATTTTGTAGAATAAAAAAATAATTTAAAATAATTACTTTTAATTAAAAAATCAATTTTTTAAAAATAATAAATAATTTTTTTTCCAATAATTATTTTAAACAATTTGAATAGAAAAATAAAATTCTATTATTAAAATAAAAAAAAAAAAAAAAGTTTAGAACTCTGGTCTAACTATTTAGAGCTTTATTCACTATTTCCAATATATTTGGTTCCGAGGGAGGACCATTAAAAAAAAAAACAAAAAAAAACAAAAATCAATTTTTGCTATCCAAAGTTTTGTCCGATTAATCGAAGCACCGATCGATTTTCCTCTTATGCACAATTTCTCCAGTGTTCAAACTAAATAATTAATTAATTCTATCGCCCAAAATTATTTGAACTATAAAAGAACTTATTAATAAAAAAAAAATACCAAGAACGAAATAAAAAAAGCGACTGTATCGAGATTTTTTTTTTCCCAAGGGGGAATAGCGACACGAACGTATCAGAAAAAAAACGGGTAGGTTGTAAAAAAAATTAATGTCGACAATTATTATAAAAAAAAAAAAAAAAAAAAAAAAAAAAAATTTGCTAAGTTCAAACGCAGTCGAGAATTACTCAGAAAGGGAAAATTATTTGTAAATTATTACTAAATAATTAATTTAATAATATTATTAACAAATAATTAATTTAATAACATTTTAAACTAAAAGTTAAATAAATTTCATTATCGAAAAAATTCATAAAGTTCATAAATAAAAATCCAGAAAAATTAAAATATCAAGAAAAATAACTTTTTGATTATTGAAAATAAAATTTGTATATTTTTCTGAATTTTTATTATAACTAAAAAGCGAATACGAGAAAATAAAGGAAAAACAAAAATTTATATTTAGAAAAAGAGAAATATAAAAAGTAGAGAGAAAGAAAAAAAAAACCAAATTTTTTCTTTATGAAAATTTTTTTTTGACTTTTTTTCGATGACACGAGAAAACAAATAATTAAAAAAATATCCCAATAATAAAATTGTAAATTAAAAAATTCTTTACCTTATTTTAATTTCGCAATCTACAGAATTGAGAAAAAAGTTGTGTGTAAAAAAACTTGAAAACGCCGGTTGATATATATATATATATATACCAACATAACCTCAATATTTGAAGAAAATTATTCATCTTTTCTTGCGAAAGAATCTCAGTCTTCTCATTAATTTTCTTGATATTTCATCACTGACGTTAATTGAAAAGTATATTTAATAAAACAAATAAAGAATGATTACTAAAATGGGAAAAAAAAACTCAGATAATAAATGAGAGAAGCTCAGATTGGAAGAAACTCTCAAAAGCTCTCAGAAGCGAATAGGCGGGAAACATGGCGGGAAATCAGAACTGATCACTGGAAATGCGCGCGCATTACCTTAAGGCCTATTCTTATTTGAAATTATGCGCGAAATTTTGAAATTATAAATTTTTAAAAACGATTAACAAATTCTAATTTCATTATCTTAATTAATTCTAACTAAATTGTAAATTCGATCAAGGCCAAACAATTTTCTATTATTATAAAAAAAATGATAAAAAAATAATTAATTACCTAATTAATAAAAATCATTATTTTAATTAAAAAATTAAATTATTTTAATTCTATAATTTTAATTGCTTGTAATTATTATTATTTATATTAATTACTCGGTAAAAATAGACATTAATTATTTATTATTCTCCGCTTGAATAAAATATTAAACAAATTAAATAAATAATAATTAAAAAAAAAATTTTATATTTTATTATATAAAATTAATTAAATATAAAAATTTTGTTAAATGAAAATATTAAACAAAAATTTCAGCTTTATAAAATAATTCTTTTACACAGAATTTCTGTTAAATATAGAATATTTTTAGAATATTCTGTAAATATAGAAATTTTTAATTTATTATAAATAAAAATTCGGCCTAATGAAAAAAAAAATAAACAGAAATTCTGTTAAATTGACAAAAATTTAACTTAATAAAACAAATAAAATAGCGAAATAAAAATTGTAAAATTCATTAAATAAAAAAATTTGATAATTAAAAATTTATTAAAATCAAATGAAATTTGTGCAAAAAAAAAAATTATTTTTCTTTTTTTCCTTTAAAAAATAAAATAAAGGAAATTTTTTAACCATACTTTTCTGAATATTCTCGACTACGTATATTATCTCTATCTGCATATCCTTCAATGTACTGAGACTAATGTTTATACTATTTAACTTATCTACGATTGAAAAAAAAAAAAAAAAAAAATGTTACTCCTATACATAAACTTAATCAATTAAAAAACTGATATAAATGTCTCAAAAAAAAAATGGGATTCTCGACAACTTTTGCAAATATAGTTCGAAAAAAACATTAAAAAAAAAAATTGGTGAAAGAAAAAAAAAAGTGCGAGAATGCAATTTACATATAAAAAAAAAGAAAAAAAAATTGGACTCAGTCGTATTTGGAGTCGCTAGCTAGATGGAATTATATTTTACATTGTACAGTTACTTATATATAAATACATATATGAATGCACTATAGATAGATTATATTCGAAATCGGAGATAATGATGTTAGCGTGAATTTAAAAAAAAAAAAAAGAAAAAAAAACAGCTCAGATTAAATACGCTTGTTATTTTCATGAAAATTTTTTTTCTCTAAAAATATTAATGAAAATAACGAACAGTATGAGATTTAAAAAAAAAAAAAAAAAAAAAAATGAATGCGTAATGGTAATTTAGCGAATGATGCATTTAGATTTTTTATACATCGACTCGAAGCTTCCCCGTTAAATATTAAATAAAAAAAAAAAAAATTAAAAAAAAAAACCTTTCTTTAGAGACCAAAAGAGTTGTGAGCGTGATATCATTGTTGAAAGCATCAGCCTACTCTATAAATATATATATATAAATATAAATATATAAATACTGTTGATTTTTTTTGTATATCTTTAAAATATAAGCGAATTTTAGAAATTTTTTTTTTTTATTTTATAATTATTGTAATTATTTATTATTATCATCCATTATATAATTTGTGAGAGTATATTTTAAAAGTGTTCGATTGGAAATAATTATATTAGACATTTTTCCACGCCTCTGCACCCGTAAAAAAAAAAAAAAAAAAAAAAAAAAATTGGTAGTGCGTGTAATTAGTCGCATTGCAATGACAAAAAAAAACTGCCCTCTCCCTTTAACTCCAAAAAAAAAAAAAAATCCGATCAAATGTAAATAAAAAAAAAAATAGAATTAATTGCCATAACTAAATTATGCGAATAAAATCATTCAAAAAAATGTCAATATTCGATTTTTTTATTTCCCAATTCACATATTTTAATTTTTTCTTTTTTCTATTAAAAAATAAATAAAAATAAAATCGTACAATTTAAAAAATGTCTTCTATATATTTTTTTGGAATTCCTAAGAATTTGTTCTCAGAGAGAAAATTAAAATAAAATAAAATTATCGAGAAAAATTTATTTCAAAAATAGAAAATAATTTATTCTCTTTAATTTACTTTATCAGTTTTTTTTTTAGTTTTTTTTTTTTTTTTTTTTTTTTTGATAATAGAAATTTCAAAATAAAATTATTGAAAATTCTGTAAATTCGTAAAAAAATTAAATTAAAAAAAAGGTTTGCAATTTACTTACGCGATATTGTGTTTTAGGGGACAATTTTTTTGTTAAATTAACATAATTTATTTATCATTTTCCGCCAATACAATTTTGCCGGAAGTAAATTTTCTTTTCTCTGCAATTTTTGATGAAAAATATCAAAATCAAATTGTCTTAATTTTTCCAAATAATCTTCCACTATCACATAAGGCAGGAAAATTGTATTATTCGCCTTTGGAACTTTATCCTTCAAGGATCGAGCCTGAAAAAAAAAAATAATAATAATTTTTTTCCAATATAATTACAATAAGTAAATGAAATAATTTTATAAAAATATAATTTCAAAATTTTAATATAAAAAAAAATTTTCTAATTCATTTGGATTTTTATTTATTTATTTCAATAACTTTTTTTTTGCAATTTCGTTAATAAATTTTAATTTTTTTCCATTATTTTGTAATAATTAGTAAAATAAAAATTTTTAAATAAAAAAAAAAAAATTCTTTGTAAAATAATAAAAGAAAAAAATTTAATCAAAATAATAATTAGTTAATTAATTAAACAATTCATGAAATTAACCTTTTGCAAATGTGTATTTGCACACGATGACATTTGAAAAAGTACTTCTTTTAATTCCTGACTGGATTCACCGCGAAATATTGTTTTCACAGAAACTTTATATTTTTCTATTAAATCAATTGGCAATGTGACATCATTTTTTTGTGCATAATAAGGAATTGCACGTATTAATGTGATAATTCCACAGGCTTTACCTAAATGACTTGCAAAATGATCAACATTTAAATCTTTTGTCTCATATGCTTCGAGTAATAAATAAAAAATTGATGAAAATGCATTTTCCGCATATTTCTCAATTGCTGACAAATCAGTGAAACGTGGATTTTCTAATTTTGAATATCTTGCATCAATGAGACGTTTAAAATAATGTTTCGAAAGTTTGTGTCGCTGTAAAATCTGTAAATTTTGCAAAGAAAAAGAAAAATTAAATTTTCTAAATTAGTTTTTTTTTTATTTCTTTTTTTAATTATCGATTTTTTTTTTGAAACTTACTCTATGTAATTCCAAAGCTGTGGGTGTTTTTGGCGGTAAATTATTGTAAATATTATTTATTGTATCGTCCCAAAATTTCAGTCTCATTAATCCATTTCTTTTATCTTGCACTTGATCCTCGACTGTTGCTATTTCTACATTAAAAGCACGAATTGCAAATGCAGTTGATCTTATATCATTTTTCAAAAGTAAATTGCAGAGAAAACCTTCGTAATCGTGTTTTCTGTGGAGAAAATATTTTTTTTTTATTAATTTATTAATAATATTACGAAAAAAAATTTTTTTTTAATTTATTAATAATATTACGAAAAAATTTTTTAATTTATAATTTAAATTCAATTTATTAACTAAAAATTAATTTTATTATCTAAAAATTCAATTTATTATCTAAAAATTAATTTTATTATCCAAAAATTAAATTTATTATCTAAAAATTAATTTTATTATTTAAAAATTAAATTTATTATCTAAAAATTAATAATATTCTTTTTTAATATTTAAATATCTAAAAAAAATTTATATTTACTTGAACCAAATAATATTAATAATTTAGAAAATCGATTATTTGAATTAAATACATTTTTTTTAATATAGAAATAAAAATAATATTTTTTGGAAAAATTTATAAGAATAATTTTTAAATAAAATGGAAAATAAAATTTTATATTCAAATTGAAAGTAAGGTTAGGTTACACGATTTAGAGAAACAAAAAAAAAAAAAGAAACAATTATATATGAAAATCGTATATAAAAAATAAATATATAAATTAATATATTTGTGTTATTTTATGTTTTTTTTAAAAACTTATTTATTCATTTTTCGTGCTCGCATTCGGAATAAATTTTCAAAAAACATAACCTCACTTTGTGTTAGAACGCGCGATTAATAAGGATAATGAAAATAAATTTGTATTAACAAAATACCGATTTACACTTACCTGACTAAATTCAAACAATATTCGCTTGGCGATTGTTTTATTGTTGACATTAAACGACTGCATTTTTGCACGTTTTTATTTAAACACTGTAAACTTTTACACATCAACAAATAACACGACATTCGCACAGAATAGAAAATAATCGTCTGCTATCGAAAAATTTTTGCTATTTTAAATTTCTATTTTTAACCCTTTTAATGAATCGGAAAAAATAAATAACAAAAGAGAATTTTTTTTATTATTACCAATAGTAACTCTTTTTTTTTTTTTTAATTAACACACACAAAAAAGTATTATTATTTATAAATAAAAAAAAAAATGGCGGGTTAATTTTCAAATTATATCGATTAAAATCGATATGGGAACACAATCGATATATTAAAGCGGCATCTTTTTTTTGTTGCCTTTCATAACCTCCAAATTTTTTCATAAAAAAAAAATATATATATAACGATATGGAGGAACAAATTTATTTATATAATTCGACAATTTGTCGATTATGTGCAACAAATAGTGAAAATGGAGAATCACTATTTACTGAAGATTTGGAGAAACCGGATATAAGTACAATGGTTAATCGTTATTTACCACTAAAGGTATACGAGCATCTATATATATATATATGTGTTTTCATTTTCTTTTTCTTATAAAAATATCAGACTTGTACTTGACTTCCTATTTTCAATGATTTGAATTTGATTTTCGTTGTACCCATATATAATCATCATAATCAAAAAAATTTTAACAATTCAGATTTTAATTAAACAATAAAAGTTTTTTTATTACAACAATTCTATTGAATTTTTTTTTTTATTAATGAGACGCGTATTTTCGAAATACATAACCTCACTTTTTATGATTAAAAATTTTTTAAAAATCATTTTTTTTTCTATTTTTATCAATTTTTTTTTTCAATTATCATACTACAAGTGTCAAAAAAAATTATATTTGAAAATTTTTATTTATTTCCCTGATATTGTGTAAAATATGTTTTATTATTGAAATTACAATTGTTTTAAAAAATTTTTATATATATATAGAACATGAGAACAATAAAAATAAATTTTACGATAAAATAATCATAAAAATGTCAATTGTTTTATTATTATTGATTTTGTAATGTTGAAAATATTTTTGTATTCGAAAAAAATTTAATTTCTTTTTTTATTAAAGAAAAAAAAAATTAAAAATGTGAATGAAATTTCATAAAAAAAAAAATGTAATTTACAATTTAATTACAATTTCTAGTTTTTTTTCTTCATTTTTATTTAAAAGAATTGATTTTTTTTTTAATTTTACCTAATATTCTTTTGATGAACAAAATAATAAATTAATATTTATAAATAATTATTAAATTGATAATTAATATAATAAACAAAAACAATTTATTAATCAATTAATAAATAAAAAATATATTATTATTAATATATATATATATAACATAATAATAATTAATTAATTAATTAATTAATTTTAGATTCAAAATGATGGCAAATTGCCGCAAACAATTTGTCCCGGTTGCAATATACAATTGGAATCGACAATTCAATTTTTCGATTTAGTCGCGGAGGGACAGAAAAAAATTCGCGAACTTTGGAAACAACAAATTGAACATGAACGAAAGGCAAAACGTGAATTGGAACGTTCAAGGCGTGATGATATTGAATTAATTGCAACTAAAGAAATTCAACAATCGGAAATAATGGAAAATTCGGAAAATATCGATAATGAAATTATTAAAAGTGTCGTTATTCCAACGATTGAAATTCAAGAAGAGAATAAAGATGATAATGAAAATGAAGATGATAATGATGATGATAATAATGCTAATAATGATCTTAATCAACAAATCTACATTAACAGTACAAATTTGATTATTATTATTATTAAAAATCAATTTTATTATTTAATAAAATTTATCGATTTGAAAATTTATTTAATTTCAAGTTTATTAATTTAATAAATTTATGTTTAAAAAAAAAAAAAATAATAATAAATTTTTAAAAATAATTTTAGTTATGCCCGATGGTTCAATGTACGCATCCGATCATGAGGTGCGACTTCAAATGGAAGGATTGGAGAAGCCAAGAAGAAAACGAGGACGACCGCCAAAAATTGAGATCAAGGTTCTTATAATATACAAAAGAAAAAAAAATTTATTTTCCAAAAAAAAGAAACGGATAATTATTTTTTATATTGAAAATAAAATTTTGTTATTTTCATTATAAATGAAAGAAAAAAAAAAACAGTTTTGTAAAATCAATTTTTCTTTTTTACAGACAGAAAATTTGGGAGAAATTCCAGAAGAGATGAGTCAAGGTGAAGAGGAAAAACAAGATGAGGATATGGAAGAAGAGGACGATGGTAGTGGAAGACGTCGACGTAAAAGAAAAATTCCCGAAAGGTCAATTTAATAAAATAAAAAAATTTACAAATTTTTTTTTTTTAAATATTTATAAAAAAAAAATTGTTTGTTTTTTCCAATTTTAGATTCAAAGAAGCAGTTCAGGGCAAGGAACTTGATCGAATATTCAAAGAAGAAGGCGTTTTTGACGAAGGTGATTTTGATCAAGAAGATGATTATTTCGATGAATTTGATGAATTCAAAGCAATAACAACGCCCGATGGCAATGAAATAATTGGCCATTTAGAAACAGAGGAGGGTAAAGATTTAGGTGAATTAGTTGTTATTAATCGAAATCGTGGACGAGGACGACCAAAGCGTAAAAAAAATAAATACTATTGCAATATTTGTGGAAAAGGATTTCAAAATATTAACAAATATGCAACACACAAGTAAGAATAGAAAAAAATTGAAATTTTTTTCCAAAAAGGAAACAACAAATTCATAATTATTTACAATTTTACAGATCTTTGCACAAGAATATAAAATACAAATGCTTGGAATGTGAACGACAATTTTCAAATGAGGATAATTTTCGTTTACATCAAAAGACAACGTCGCATGTTGGACGCGAGGTTCTTGAAATTGTCAATGAAGTAATTAAACCAGCGGATATTGTAACAAGTAATGATTCATCAAGTATTGTTACATCTAAAGAAGAGGAAAATCGATTAGAAATTAATTCTTCTAATAAAATAAATATCGATAATAATGAATTATTAACAAATGAAGAAGAATTGCCAACGAAAGAAATTTCATTAAATGAAATTCCAATGGAAAAATCGTCATCATCACAAGTAGAGGAGGAGAAGGAGGAGGAGGTAGAAAAACGTGATGTCACATGTTCACAATGTTCCCATGTCGATGAGGGTGAAGATCGAGAAACAAATTTAAAAACTGATCAAAATGATCAAAACGAAAAACAATCATCGGTAAAATAATTAAAATAATTTAATTGAAAATTAAAAAAAAAAAAATTGCAAAAATATGTTTGAAAAAAAAAAATCTTTTTCTGTTTTATATTTAGAATGGTAAAAATGAAAAAGGATTTCCTTGTGATATTTGTGGTAAGGTATTAAATCATCCAAGTTCAATTTTATATCATCGCGAGGCGGAGCATAATAATGGAAGACGATTTGTATGCAATAAATGTGGAAAAAGTTTTAAGCATAAACAATTATTGCAAAGACATCAACTTGTACATTCTGAGGAACGTCCATATCTTTGTAAACATTGTAATGCAAGTTTCAAAACAAAGGCAAATCTTCTCAATCATCAATCAACTCATACTGGTGAGAAAAAATATTTTTGCGATATTTGCGGACAACAATTTGCGCACAAAACAAGTCTCACTCTACATCACAGGTGAATCTCTATTTTTTTTTTTCACCTCATTTGAATTTTAAATAAAAAATTTCATTTGGGAAAATTCAAAATTTGTAAATTAAAAATTCGTTGTTTTTTTTTTCGCAGATGGCATTCAGGTGATAAACCATATACATGTGATGTTTGTAAAAAGAGTTTTTCACAAAATGGAAATTTACAAGAACACATGCGCATTCATACAGGTGAAAAGCCATATTGTTGTGATTATTGTGGTCGTAAATTTACGACATCGTCACAATTTAAATTACACGTGAAACGACATACTGGCGATCGTCCATGGAAATGTGAATTTTGTGAAAAAAGCTTTTTACATAAAGACACATGGAAATGTCATGTACGTCGACACAAAGGTGAACGTCCATTTCAATGTGCAGATTGTAATCGTGCATTCACTGAGCAATGGGCATTAAAAAAACATCTTCGTCTACACACTGGTAAATTCAAAAAAAAAAAATATATATTTCTAATAAAAAATTTTTTTTTATTTACTTTTGTAATTTAAATAATAATTTAATTTTCTTCTATTTTTTTTCTAGGAGAGAAACCATATTCTTGTGAAATATGCGGAAAGGCTTTCGCCGACTGTTCAAATCTCACCAAACACAAAAAAGTAATTAAATTTATAAAAAAAAAAAAAAAATTTCTCAAAAATATTTCTTAACGATGGAAATTTTTTGTTAAAATAAGAATTACAAAGAAATCCTTTTTTTTTTATTTATTTAAGTTTATTTTATTCTATGTTTCATTTTTAATTTTTTATTATTTATTATTATTATTATTATTAGATACTATTATTATTACTATAATTTTTTTATTATTACTATTATTATGTTTACACTATTATTTGATTTATTGAAAATTTTTAAAATTTTATTTATTTATTATTATGGGGAAAAAAAAAAATTATTAAAATTTTTCCCCCGTTAGGTTCATAAGGAAAATAATAAAGTTGAAGGAAATGAAATATCAGATGGTACGGCTATTGGCGAAGTTTGGGAAATTTTACCAAATCCCCAGGAAGTTAATGATAATTCAATTCAAGGACGTATCGCTGAAGTTATCACATCGGATAATTTATCCGGTGAAGAGGTGCCACAAATTTTTTATGTCTCCTATCAAGAACCAAATATTGCTCCACAATCGAGAATGTTACACATTGGTAAATATATACATTTTTTTTGTTTTGTTTCCAAAAAATGGAAAAACAAAAACAAAATATTTAAATCATTTAAAACAAAATTTTTTTTTAAGTTAAATTAAATTAAAACTAAAAACATGAAAATTTAAATTTCATTTTTATATTAAAATTCATAGAATTTTTTTAATTTGAAAAAAAAATATTAAGAAGCAAAATTAATGTGAATTATTGAAATTATAATTTTATAAAGAAAACTGAATAGAATAATAAAATAAATGTAAATATATATATTTTTTAAATACATAAATGTTTTTGTCTTAATTATCGAAAGAAAAAAAAAAATGTTTTCAGTCGATTCTGGAATGGTGGAACTTAAAGGAGAATTATCGACAGTTGGTGGTCAAACATTGCGTGCAATTCATATACAAAATGATGAAATTGTGAATGAAGAAGCTCTACTTCAAAAGTCAGATTTAGAGGAAAAAATTGATGAAGACATTGCGGAATCTGATTTACAAGTTCAGGTATAATTTTTCAAAAATAATCAAAAATTCTTCTAAAAATTAATATTTTAAATTTTTCACATTTTCATAATTTAAAATTAAAAAATTAAAATCAAAATTCATTTTTAATCTCTGCCCGTATATTTTTCAATTTATTAAAAAAAAAAAAATAATTGGAACTGTTAATAATTAAATGGAAAATAATTATTCAAAAGTAATTGAATTTGTATTCTTTGTAAAACAAAAAAAAAAAAATATTCTTTCAATTGAAAATTATAAACTTATATTATTTATAATTTCTAATATTGTAATTTGGAAAAAAAACAAGTATTAAAGGAAAGAAAAAATATATTTTTTTTTACAGATAACAGACGACGAAGGAAATTTAATTCCCCTCTCATTACAAGATGCACGACAATTATTATCCGAGGGTCAAATAATTAGTCAAATGAGCGATGGACAAATTGTTAAAGTACATTCGGGAATTGGACCACAACATTTTTTTGCTCAGCTAGGTGTTAATGTTAATCAGGAAGTAAATTCAAATCCAACAATTATAGTTAAAAATAAAAAAACATCGTCTAATTCACGAAATTCAGACAAGACAATCGAGAAAAATTCATCTAAAGTTTAAAAAAAAAAAGAAAAAAAAACGATGTTATTTAATTTATTCAAGAAAAAAAAAATGGTAGCATAATATGTATTACGTTTATTAATATTTATATTATAATTATGAATGTAAAATACTTTTTTTTTTCCTTTAAAAAATATACAATTTGTTTAGAATTCTTTTTAAGAAATTATAAAATTTTCTTATTTACATTTTCTAATATAATTTCCGATATTAATAATTAATATTTAAAAAAAAATTGACATTTTTTGAAATAGGTATTTTAAATAGAAATTTTTTTTAAATAAATTATTTATTTGAAAATTTTCGAAATATTTTAAATGGAAAATTTTTTAATAATAATTATTTATTAGATATTTTTTGAAATATTTTAATAAATTTTTATTTATTAGATATTTTTTGAAATATTTTAATAAATTTTTATTTATTAGACATTTTTTGAAATATTGTAAGTAGAAAATTTTTGGAATGAATTATTTATTCCAAAAATATTTTAAATTTTTTAATAAATATAATATTTCAAATGAGATAAAAAAAAAATATTTTCAGAAAATTTTGTTAATTTAATCTTAAAATTTATTGACCTTGATCTTTGCGTTTGCGCAGAAAATCAATGATCCATCTTTATATATACAATTATGCATTTATATACCTATATATTTTTTAGAAAATTATGATTCTTCGAAATGTATATTGATAAGATATAACTTATTGCGTTTCATATATAAAATCACAAAAAATTTCATTATTGGAAAATCATTTTCAACATTTAGCAATTTTAATAAGTGAGTATCTTTGTTTTTTTGAAATTCTAAATTTATTTATTTTCATATCGCAAAATATTAAACAAATTTTTTAATAAGAGAACAAAAATTTTACAATTTGAAAGAAATTTAATACAAAAAAAAATTCCATTTACAAATTGAAATAAAATTTTAAAATTTTAAAAATATTTTCTAAATTTCTTATTATTTTCTCTGGAAATTTTGAAAAATATTATATAAAATAATATTTATGCAAAAAACGGAAAAATATAATAAATTAAATAAATTGTAAAATTATTTCTTTTTCTCTATTTAATACTATTGTTATGCTTTTATATATTTTTTTTTTTCTTTTTGCAGAAAAGGAGAAAAATTTTTAAAAAAATGTCTGATATATTTATAAATCAATATGAATGGAAAGCTAGAGCATTAGAATTTCAAACAAATTTGGCAAGTGGTCCACTTGCATCCGCAACATGGGATAGATTTGAAATTAAAACAAGTGAAAAACAAAAATATCTTTATGATAAAATAAAAATTTCATTATTTGGAAATATGGAAAAATTAACGAATGAACAAAATGAATTAATAAATTTAATAAAAGAAAAATGTATTGATAAATCATGTTATTCAAATTCTGTACATTTAGGAATAATATATGTTTCAATATTATTTCAAAATAAATCGGAATTTATATTTCCCATTTTTCGTATACGTTCAAATGAAGATAATGATTTAAAATCAACATTTATCGATCATTTATCACGGGTTTATAATAATTTTCAAGCATATTTAGAAACAAATACATGGGATTTATCATTTATTGTTATACCAGTTAATGGAATTTATAAATTAATTGATGAAAAATGTGATATTCTATTTTCTAATCAATCAGAACGTGGTTTATTAAAAGCAACAGCTGATGATACAGCAAAAGTTGTTGGTATTGGAAGTACAGTTGGAATGATTGCTGGAATGGGATTATCATTATTTCCATTGACAATGCCAGTTGGTATTGCGGTATTATCAACAAGTGGTTCATTTGGTGTAGCAAGTGGAATTTATGGTGCAGGACGTGCAATATCAACACTTCAAGATCGTAAAGAACATGAATTATCAATTAGTTTCACTGATAAAGAAGCACGTGGCTGTTGGATAACAATAGCATCATCATCATTATCATTTATTTCAATGGGTGCACAGGAATTAATTGCACCAAAATTAATTCAAAATGCCCAATTGGGACATAAATGTTCTCTATTATTAACAAGTACATATACAACAATATCAGTTGCATCGCTTAGTTTAAATGCAATTGGTTTTGTTAATTTAATTTATGATGTTGCAATAAAAGATAATGTGACAAATGAAGATATTTTAAATTTAATAACAACAACATTTTTCTTCTTTCATTCGGCAATGAATTTTCAAACTGCAAGTAATGTTATTAAGAAAGCACAAAAAATGGAATTAGCTAAACTTAAAGAGCCATTAACACCAGAACAACAGGAAATATTTGATACTTTACGCGAGGCACATTGGGAAAATGTTGATATTGGAAATGTTGATCAACAAGAAGGTGATCGACGTTATATACGTGAATTAAAAACAATTGACAATATTGAACAATTTTTTCAACAATTCAATTTAACAAGCGATGGACAATTAAAAATAAATGGCGAATTAACAATACATCAACGTGCATTTATACAAATACCCCAACAAGAACGTTTACAAATTTTACAAGAATTGCAAAAATTAAATCAAAATCAAATAACAATTGATGAATTTCGTTTAAAAACAGAAAATACAAGACGAAATTATTCATTAACATTAGATAGAGAACGTTGTCAATTTAAAGATAATATAACAAATGTTTATGGTGAAAATTTTGAATCAATACAAATAAATGGTGAAAATATATTTCAAAATATTAAACCACATGAAATTGATCGTCTTCATCAAGTTACAAAACATTCATTAAATAATGATCATGATTATGTGAAATTGGGTAAAGAATTTTCCAATGAAATGAAAGTGAAAAATATCACTGAATATTGTGCATCATCTGAATATGCAGCGAGACAAGTACAAAAAGAAATATCAAATCGCATTAAAACAAATTCAAATCCCACACGACCACATGGTGTGAAGGCAAAAGATTTTTATAAAACACAAATAATTAATGAAATGCGCGATAATAATTTTCAACAAATTAAAGAATCATTTGTTAATTTAAAAAATCAATGCGATAGTGTTAATCAACGTGTATTAAATACATTTGGTAATTCATATGCCGCGGCAAATCATTATGATAAACATCAAATATTACCATCAGTTAATGATAAAAATGCATTAACACCAGCGCAATATTTTGATATTGCCAGCGATATGGTGTCGCAAATTTATTGTGAAATTGAATGGACACAAGATGGTTCGAGTTTAAAGTGTACATTTAAAAATGATCAATTAATGGCAATTAAATTTGAAAATGTCACACATGGCGAAAGTGTTATTGCAACATTAATGGATACAAAGAAAAATACGCCAATTGCACAAAAATATTGTTATTATCCAAAAAATTCAATTGGTGCTTATTATGTTGATTTTCACGATGTTCCAGGATTTAGCGAATAATTATTCACGAATATTTAAATATATATTATTAAAGGACTGAATTTTGATATTTTATCATCACGAAGAAAATTTTATAACAAAAAAAAAGAAATTTATAAACATTTTATAACTTATACTAGCAAAATTAAAAGCGCGCAAGCGCGCCTAATTGAGTATTTAATTGTTTGTTATAAAGAAATTAAAGATTAATATTATCAATAATAATTTAATTTATAAGAATATTATTACATATTAAATGATGATAATGAAAATTATATATTTACAGGCCTCGGATTATACAACTTTTTCCGACTTTTTTCAAAAATACGACTTTTATCGACTTATTTTAATAAAATGCGACATATTTTTTTTACATTTGAAAAAAATGTAAATAAAATACATTTTTTTTAGTATAAAATGTAGATCTTCTTCAGATCTTCTTCAATTCAATTATTTAACAAATTTTTAACTAAAATGATTCTTCACTAAATTAATTATTTTTAATAATTTTAATTAAATACATCACAAATTCAATTATATCAAAATTATTTTTTCAATTAAAATTTTTATGAAATTTAACAATTGTTTATAATTTTAAAAAAAATATCACAATAAAATTGAATTATTTTTTTGAAAATTTCAATTCAAAATAAACTAAAATTCAATTATTACCCAAAATTTTAATTCAAAATCAATTAAAAATCCAATAATTATTAAAAATTTTCAATTTAAAATTTAATTATTTACCAAGTTTTCTATTTAAAATGAAATAAAATTCAATTATTTTCTAAAATTTCTATTCAAAATTAATTATCCAAATTTTCAATCAAAAATGAACTTAAATTAAATTATTACTTAAAATTTCAAGTAAAATTCAACTATTTCCCAAAATTTTCAATTCAAAATAAACTGAAATTCAATTATTTTCTAAATTTAAAATCAAAATTAAATTTCATTATTCTCAAAAATTTGAATTCAAAATTAATTGAATTTTTAATAATTTGAATTTAAAAGCATCTAAAATTTAATTATTTCTAAAATTTTCCATCGAAATTTTTTTTTTTTGAAATTTAATAATTTCAATTATAACTCTATGACAATTAAATTATTTTTTAAAAATTTGAATTCAAAATAAACTAAAATTCAATTATTACCCGAAATTTTAATTCAAAATCAATTAAAAATCCAATAATTATCAAAAATTTTCAATTTATATTTTAATTATTTACCAAGTTTTCAATTTAAAATCAATTAAAATTCAATTATTTTTAAAATTTTCAATACAAAATTAAACATAAAATTTAATTATTTTCAAAATTTTTTAAAATTCAATTATTTTCCAAATTTTCAATTTCAAATCAAATAAAATTAAATTATTTTCAAAAATTTCAATTCAAAATTAATTAAAATTCAATTGTTTCCCAAAATTTTAGTTCAAAATTAATTAAAATTCAATTACTATACAAATTTCAATTGAAATTCAATTATTTCCAAATTTTCAATTTAAAATCAAATAGAATTCAATTATTATACAAAATTTCAATTAAAATTCAATTATATCCCAAAATTTTAATTCAAAATTAATTAAAATTCAATTATTATACAAATTTCAATTGAAATTCAATTATTTCCAAATTTTCAATTAAAAATCAAATAAAATTCAATTATTATACAAAATTTCAATTAAAATTCAATTATTTTCCAAATTTTCAATTTCAAATCAAATAAAATTCAATTATTTTTTTAAAATTTCAATTCAAAATAAACTAAAATTCAATTATTACCCGAAATTTTAATTCAAAATCAATTAAATATCCAATAATTATCAAAAATTGTCAATTTATATTTTAATTATTTACCAAGTTTTCAATTTAAAATCAATTAAAATTCAATTATTTTTAAAAATTTCAATACAAAATTAAACATAAAATTTAATTATTTTCAAAATTTTTTAAAATTCAATTATTTTCCAAATTTTCAATTTCAAATCAAATAAAATTAAATTATTTTCAAAAATTTCAATTCAAAATCAATTAAAATTCAATTATTTCCCAAAATTTTAATTCAAAATTAATTAAAATTCAATTATTATACAAATTTCAATTGAAAATTCAATTATTTCCAAATTTTCAATTTAAAATCAAATAAAATTCAATTATTATACAAAATTTCAATTGAAATTCAATTATTTTCCAAATTTAAAATCAAATAAAATTTTATTATTCTCAAAAATTTGAATTTAAAATTAATTGAATTTTCAATAATTTGAATTTAAAAGCATCTAAAATTTAATTATTTCTAAAATTTTCAATTGAAATTTTTTTTTTTGAAATTTAATAATTTCAATTATAACTCTAAGGAAATTCAATTATTTTTAACTATTTTAATAATATTCTTTGAAATTTCAACTATCTGAAACCATTTTTCAATTAAAAATGATTTTCAAATTATTGTATTTTGTCCGCATTTTCTAATAAATTTTTAGTGAAATCATCTAAAATTTTAATTAAAAATCACTTAAAGTTTCAATTAATTTCAAAAATCTCAATTTTAAATCTTTGAAAATTCAATTAAATTTAAAAAATGTTTTCCAAAAATTGTTTGATAAATTATTTTTAGTTCTGTAAAATTTAATAATTGTTTGAAAATTTAACAATATCTTTTGAAATTTAATTATTTCTAAAAATTTCAACTTTAACCCTTCGAAAAGGATTATTATTAAAAAAAAAAAAACAATTTTTATTTAAAAATCTGTAAAATATTTTTGTTAAAATAAAAAACAAATCCACTTTTTTTGGAATATAAATCGACTAAAACGACTTTTTGTGTCTTTAAGTTGATTCGAGGCCTTTGTTTTTATAATTAATATTTAATAGGTATTCGTTGGCCCCTGGTACCTTAAAAATTAATTTTTAAAAATTAATTTTTTTCAAATTACTATCTTGTACGAAATTTCCTCGCGCATCTTTTTTCTCATCATAAATTTTTTGTATTTGTATACAATTTTTGAATGAATAAACAACTTTAAAAAAAATTTCGTTGGTAAACGTTGTGTACTTCAGCTTCGTAAATTGAATTTTCGAATTTGGAATTTTAAAGAAACTTATTCCGAAATTTGGAAACACAATTATACAACTTTGGCAAAAATGAGAAAAAAAATTGTCAAAATTTGACACGTTCTAAGATTACTATTCAAAAAAACAGGTGAAATCAGAAAAGGCCAACTTCAAGTTAGGACAGAAGGACAGAATAATAATAATAATAATAATAAATAAATAAATAAATGCCCGAAAGTATTTTGCGGACAAAGTCGGGTGGATATAGACGGACGTTTAGACGTTTTCTGATGTCCGTCTAGCCGGACGTTTAGACACTTTGTTTTTAATAAAGGAAAAACTCGTAAAAATTACCTGTAATGTCTCCTTTCTTCAAAGTGCGTCACAAATATATTTTTTTGAAACTAATAAATACAAATTTTTACTATAAAAACAGCTCTCCATTTTTATATATTAATTGATGTTTTTTTTTTTTTATTTTAATTAATAAATATGTATTAGTTTTTATCATCAAGAAAAAAGGTGAAGAAATAAGTAATAATAATTTCTCCGTTCCTTATCTTTTTCCAACTTTTTAAAAATTTCTTCTTTCTATAATATTAATATATTATATACATTATTATTTATTATTAAATTATAAATTCTTTCTATTTTCCTTTTTTTCTAACTAATTTCTAATTAAAAAAATAAAAAAGACGGTTTGTTTGGAAATCGAAAACTGATAAGCATTGAATAGTAAAATTTTGAATAGAAGGGCAAACTCCATTTTCAGTTTTAAAAAACAAGATGGCGCTACAGGAGCTAGTTTGTAACGAGCGACTATAATCCTCGCTCGAATCATTTCGATGTATCGAATGAGCGATACATCGATGTGATTAATTAAGATTTAAATAATTTAATTGAGGATTAATTATAAAACATCTTAAAACACTTAATATTTTCTCACGATAAATATAATAGAGTCTTTCACATAAAAGAAAATAGCATGACTAATTCTAAAGTATTTCCGTCAACTATTAAGTTTATTCCAATATCGTATTTCTTTTAGCAACACAAAATACTAAAAGAGAAATGTCGTAAATCAGTCCAAGAAAATAAGAGAAAATATATTCTCATATTTTCTCTCATTTTCAAATTTTAAATGTAAACCTAGAACGTCATAAAAACCACTTGAAAAAATGTGATCCTTTCTATAAAAAAAAGGGACACTAAACACATGTTGACCAGACACGGACTTTTATTACCTTCAATAGAAAAGTCGCGTACGGGCTAAACAATGAACGAAAGTTTACAACGGAAATGCTTTGTATAAGAAATGCTTTATTTAATAATAAATAATTAAATAATTATTTATGTACATGTTTCAGTATATTTACACATTTGTATTTAAGCGTTATTAATATTGTTAATTAATTAATAATTGATTATCAGAATATTATAATTTAATATTATTATAATTATATCATAATTAATATTGTTATAATTATATTATAATAATATAATTATGGATTAACCATATAATGTTGTGATGATTAATGTTTATTATATTTTAATAAATAGTATGTTGTATGATGGGAGAGATTGTGTATAATCTCTCTTATGTATGTGTGAACATATAAGTAACACTAAGGAACGATGTGATAAGTGTTAGTGAAGTGATACACGTATAGGAGTAGCGAATACGCTCCATAGTGAAGCATGCGCACAAACTCAAAATGGACCAAAAGCGGAGAGCGACTCCGCTGGACCAAAAACTCTCTAAGTTAGTTCTAATCTTGACTCTGGCTTGAAAGGTTGTTTTCTAAACTCCTTAGTCAGCTTTGTATTTTATCATATTAATAAATTACAGGGTTTTACCTTCGAAGGAAGAACTAATAATTATTCTTCCTTTGAACGGGTTTCCCTTCCGTTGTATCGGAATTTAATAATCTTTCATTTAAACCTTCCCGCTTCCTTCTTAAAGGATTTAACTAAAGAGAATCCAGCCAATCATATTACATTTTTAGAGTTGCGTAATAAAAGGTAACTCGGCTCGTAACATAAATTGGGGGCTCGTTACCGGCCTTTAGTGCGGGAATTTGAATAAATGACAGTTTTATAACGTAAAACTACAAACATTATTTGAAAACAAAAAATTCAAAGTAAAAGTTTTATAACATAAAATTATTAATTCAATTCAATTATTTGAATATTGAATTATTGAATTATTTGAATACTTGAATATTTATTATTCAAAACATGAAATAAACACTTATGTATAAAATTATTAATGTTATTTGAATAAAAACTTTTTATTCAAAGTGAATAATAAACTAAAAGTGGAAAAGAAAATATTATTTTTTTGAGTTCCTGAGTGTATAAACAATTTTTTTTTGAAAATCAAAGTGAAGAATTAATTTGAAGTGTATAAAGAAATATTATTTTCTTCAGTATAAGTTCCTGAATAAATAAATGTTCCTGATTTCCTGGCGAGCAGTATAAG